TGCGCAGTTCACCTGAAATATTACGATTACCAGATACACTGGGAACAAAAACTAGTTGGTTAACTTGAATAAATAAAAAAGCCTGAATATCAGAAAGTGAGAAAATGTGAGAAATTTTGTAGATCATCATAATCTTGACTACTGAAATTACAGTAACCAACCTTATCTTGCATGGTCTTGGCGCAGTTTTGACACTCTGTCCACAATCTTGAGAAGTGCCTTTCCACAGTATTCAGATTCGTTATTCTGAAATGGATCATTCAAAGAAGGTACCCAAAAAAATCAGAATTTTAGAATTTACCTTTGAGCATAGATCTCAGGCAGTTTGCCTTGCTTGATGCAGAAATCACAAACAGCTCGTTTCTGATCTTTCAGGACTGCTTTACACCTAAAAATGTGTGCTAAAAAAATATTAGGGAGAACTTTCGGAAGGGAATGTCAAACTGGATAAACGTATGCATCAAATGACATTTTGCAATCTCCTAAACGACTCACCCCAGACAAGTAACCTGTTTCTTTGTGAATGCAGCAAGACCGCCTACTTTGCTTTGCACCACAGTTCTCACACGTGTGTGCTCACCCTCGATCAGAATCTGAAAAAAACTAGACCTTTCCAGTTCCAAAAAATTTCAATTTCCCTGCTTACCTTCTCTGCTCTGTCACCAAGGATTGGCTCAAAGATTCTGGCAAGAGGTTTTGCCAACTGGTTAGTTAGGTAGTATCTGGTGTCAATCGGTATGTTGTTTTTCAAGACAAACTCAGGATCTTCCGCTTTCTCATAAGCAGGGACATTCTTAGCGGCAGCCACTACAACAGGTGTTTCTAATATGATTAAAAAAGGCGTAAAGTTGGTACAGATAAATGAATAACACGAATCAAAATAAAATATATTATCTATCTAATCTAATCTCATATACGAAGAATCCTAACACCAACAAAAATTCAGATAGCGGTCCCGAAGCGCGCAAATGCAAGTCCAGCACCTGTAGATTATTGGTTTACTTGAAGAAGAATGAGAGATAAACAGTGAGAAATTCTAAAAAAATAAAAATAACCTACAATATGAAGCACTACAATGACGGAAAAATAATCACGGATCATAGAATCATAGAAAGTTTCAGACTTGTCTGAG